TATTAGCTATTTGAAATTTTTATGTGGTGATGAGAATCAAACCCAGTGCCTCACACATGCTAGGCAAGCGCTCTACCACTGAGCCACAATCCCAGCACCAAATGTGATATTTTTTTACAATTTAAAATGAGGTGGCTAACTAAGGGTGTGGCTCTGTTGTACAGTGCTTGCCTAGCATGTGCCCTGGGTTTGATTTCCAGCAACACCAAACAAAACCCCAAACTAACAGCTGTTAAAACTGCAGTAAGTTTAAGCTAACAAAATATGGTACAACTAAAAGGGCATTCTTTTGAAATATTTGCTGAGTATTTATGTCACACACTGATAGACACTGTAATTTAACAAGATCCTTGCTTTCATGAGATTTATATTCAAACGGAAAAAACCCAAGATATGGTCAGAAAAGTGAATAAAGCAGAAAAAAGGGAAGACTAAGTAGGTTCTATATTTCAATAGAAAGGTGAAAATAAATCTCATTTAGATACTTATCACATGCAAATATCCACAACATTGCAGGTAGGTGAAATAATGTCTCCTTCAAAGGCTTTGAGGGAGGAGTATGCCTGGCTTGTTTAAAAAAAAAAAAGTCACAGTGGCTGGGATGAACTGAGTACAGAAGAACTTGATAGGGATTTTACTCTGAAATGGGGAAAGCTGATTAAAGCAGATTAAAAAGTCTTGACAACTATTCTGAGAACAGATTGTATATGGTGGCAAAGGGAGAAAACAGTGGGGATAGTATTAAGTGATGGCATGTCCAAGACTTCTATGTGAGATGTGAGGAATCAAGAGCAACCTTCAGTTTTGAGCCTAAGCCACTGAAATAAAGGTACTGATGTTAGCTATAGGAGAAGGCATTGGGCTAAGGGGGTGAGAGGGTAAAAGATTTAAGAATTTAGGGGCTGGGGATGTGGCTCAAGCGGTAGCGGGCTTGCCTGGCATGAGTGGGGAGCTGGGCTTGATCCTCAACAACACATAATAAAGATGTTGTGTCCACTGAAATCTAAAAAATGAATATTAAAAAATTATCTCTTTAAAAAAAATTCAGCCTTGGCATTTAAAATGCTAGTTTGGAAGAAAGGTCTGAATTGGAAAATATATATGTGGAAACTGACATTAAGACTTAACTGAATAAGAACACCAAAGAATGCCCAAAATATTTAAAAAATATCAGGGAAAAGAAACAACAAAGCATATCAAAGGTGTAAGAAATGAATTTCAACTTGCACTTATGACTCCTTGCTTTAACTGTCCCCACTAACTGATGAAGCACCAGACTGGCTGAGTTTGATAAGAGGGCATATTCTCCGTCCTTCGTATGTAAACAGGGGAAATAACTCTTAGAAGCCAACTTTAGGTAATAAGAGGTTAGACCATTCATGCTCCTCTTCCTTTTAGTGTCCACTCATGTAATTAGATCATTTATTGAAAACAATGTAAAATGGGTCACTATGGAACTTTGTAGATAGGCAATCTCCTTGTGTGCAAATACATATATTCATAAATTATTTGAGCTCATTCACTTGGAGTAGAATGGCTGCCAGCATTCCTGGATCAATTTTAGAGTTGTATATAAATGATTTCAAAGATTGGTGTTCATAATGAATAAACTAAGATATGCTATTAATTCTGAAAATCTAGTCATAACTAGCTTTTTATTGTTCCAGTTTGTGCAAATTGCTTGCTAATTCTTAGGATGAAAGATGCTTTACTACAAGGCCCAAGTTTCTATACAATACTGGGATGATATTCAGCGTTTACATGTAGGGCCCAAATTCCCCATAAGTGTTAGTTATACCTGTCTACTTTATATTCTTAATAGATAGCTATATTATATAGGTAGAATCTGTACAAGTATTTATATCAGACTTTTTTTTAAAATAATAAATAGGTGCCACTAAGTTTCTAAGGTCTTGTATACATGTAAGCATCTAACACCACCTTACAGAGCAGGTGTTCAAGATATGTAAAAACAAACATTTATAAGAAATATATTCCCAAGTGTGTACAGTTTCAGGATGAACAAAGTTTAACTGGAAAACTGACATCATAAAATTATTCTAATCTCTACTCACCCATTCTTGCCAGTACCTCAGAACTGCCTTTGTGAAAGTAGAACATTATCTTACCCATTTTAGTAGTCAAACTAGTGAGTTAGCAAGTACAAAATCAATTTTTAAGAAATGCTGAATGGCAATTTGACCCCAAAGGGGAGGGCAGGGTGATTCTATTTTGTAGATGGGTTGACAATCACTAAATTGTAATATTAGTAAGATAATTATTACTTTCCTCATCCCACAGGTTTATTCACCCTTATGGCTATTATAACTACAATATAATCTTACGGCTATTATAACTCCTTTCGTGGAAAAAAATGTTACTAACTGGACTGCTACCACAAAAATGGAGTGTTCAATCTTAGTACACTCACTGAGTCCCCAAATCCTACCTCTTGCAAACTTAAGCCATACTCACATAACAATGTTCTCAATTTCTATTTCAAGTCACCAAATATAAACATTTTTAAAGTTTCTACCACCTACTACAAGCCTACAACCTTCCATATTTTGTATCCTTTTCCAAGGGAAGTTCCTCTTTGTTCCCAAAGCTACTTTTGACACTATTTGTTTTGATGCTATTGTTTTTAGTATCATTCAGTTTGACTCACACATCAAACATGAACTCCTCATGATTCCCCTTTACAGGCTCATCCCATGGGATGTTTTCTTCTCTATTTTAACCCCCTTATTTCAGGCTACAAAATTAAGGCTTTTACAGACTCATCCCATATTGGGATGTTTTCTTCTCTATTTTAACTCCCTTATTTCAGGCTACAAAATTAAGGCTTTAATCTATACTTTCTTCCCAATTCCAGAATCTTATGGCTATTAATAACTATTTCTTGGAATGCAAATGTACAAAATTCATACCACTGCCCAATGTTTTTCTGGTGTTTCCCCCCCTAAGTGAATGGCACACTATTATACAAGCTCCAAGTCATCATCTTAACTTCTCATAGCCTAATTTTCACAGCATCCTGTTGATTTTGCCTCCTAGGTCTCTCAACCAACTTTTTTCTCCTGTTTTTATTCCACCTCCAGGTAGCTAAAGACTCTTGTAAAAGTTTCATTAGACTACCTTATTTACTTCCTTCCCAATTTAATCTGCAACTAATCTACTTGAAATGCTTTACTCACTTCCAAGGACTCCACAGCATTCTTAGGATAGTCTTTAATGTGACTTACAAGCCATAGGCCTTGCCTGTTGCTGAGTTTCCACTCAGGCTATGTTCTTCACCACCTGCTTCATCCAACTGGCATTCTTTCAATTCCTGCTAATAGCATACTCCTGCCAAAAGGTCTTTTTCCAAATCTTTTTGCCTAGAAAGGTACCTTCCTTCCTTTTCTCCAAGTCTTAATTCAGATCTACATTAAGATAATAAATTCTATCTACTGAAGTTCTCTTGTAAGTGGGGCATGGACTTTTGAAAAGAATGTAAAAATAAAATAAAATAAAAGTATGATGGTGCCTGGTGCCTGCCTATCAATCCTAGCAAACCAGGAGGCTGAGGCAGGGGAGTCCCAAGTTTGAGGCCAGCCTGGGCAACTTAGCAAGACCCTGTCTCGAAATGTAGATTACTTGGTAGAATGGCCCTGTGTGGAGGACAGGAATGTATATATCTTATCTAGCATTGACAACAGCTGATCAGAACTGATGTGCCATTTAAAAACCCAAGAACTCTGTTAAAGAAATATAAAAGGGAGACAAAGACCCAGGATAGCAATGGAAAACACTTACTATTAAGAATTCTTGTTTCATGTATTTGTTGAGAAACAAAACTAGGAGACTGGGGAAACTATCAATCCTCTATTTTAAAAAAATCTCCTTGTAAAACTTAAAAAGAATAATAATAATTTTTTAGTATCTCCTTGTTATACTGTATCAGGCCTTGACTGACTCCTGGAGTGTCGGGTGGCATTTGATCAAAATTGCTCTCAGCCATCTTTTATTGTGGTTAAATGTTCCCTGCCTCTGTAGGCTACAGACAAAATCTCAATTTAATCCAAGTGGGATTAATGAACACCGTCTTCTTCAATAACAACATAGAAAACAATCAGGGGGAGAATAAAGTAACAGAACCTAACAAAACCTGACCCACAACTTTAATGTAAGCACTGAAAGAGACTCCACTAATGGTAACTCCCTTTCTCAAATGATAATTTTGATTGCTCAGAACTAATCTTCAACATACTCTAAAGCCTGCAGGTGACTCATCTGGACCCTGATTCAACTCCCCCCTACCCCCACCCCGCACGTATTCTTTCTCTCATTGAAATAACAAATATGTCACTGTTTGAAAGCATTTTTAAGGGGCTGGGATTGTGGCTCAGTGGTAGAGCTCTCGCCTCACACGGGTGAGACCCGGGTTCGATCCTCAGCACCACATAAAAATAAAGATGTTGTGTCCACTGAAAACTAAAATAAATAATAAATATAAAAGCATATTTAGTCAATTTAATAATCCCCTAAAACTGGGCAAATCTGAATCTTTGATTTACAAATAAAACAGTTTACAGTCTTTCTGAATTCCTTCATCTTAATTCTAACCAGATACCATCTACTTGAAAGAGCATCAAAATGCCAGCAAAGAATTTAAAAAGTCTCCAAGAAGGCTGCCTTAAAGACAAAATGTAAAGTCCAATTATATTACCCTTCATATTACCCAATAGTACTCAAAACTACACACAATGATAGCTAGATATGGTGGTACACACCTGATTCCAGAGGCTGAAGCAGGAGAATCATAAGGTAGAGGATAGTCCAGTAACTTAGTGAGAAACCTTGTCTCAAAGTAAAAATAAGGGAGAAGGAATGGGGATGTAGCTTAGGGTTAACGCACCCCTGGGTTCCATCCCAGTACCGAAACCAAACCAAAACAAACAGAAATACTCCATACACAATGTTTAACAAATTATAAATCAAACAGGACAAACTGCAAGTATTATCAAAATTTTGTTTTATTTTCAATACAAGATAAATACCATGCTTGTTACTAGTGCAGTTTAAGGCCAACAATGGCCATATAGCAAACTGCTGAACAGTCACCTAAATGCTAAAGAAAAGAAAAGACAAAAATAAACATTAAACACAAAATTGCAATTACAAACATTTTAATAAAATGTGAAAAAGCTTTTTAATAGAAGCTAATATGGAAGTGTAGTTCTCATGGACATCAAAAAGATGTCTATTTGATCAAAAATCACCTTACCTTTTGCACAGAAATCTTATTGTGAAGTCACCATAGTCAATAGCTAAAATTTTAAGACTTTCTTTGGCCTTCTGATATTAGACAAATTATTTACAAACTGTGATTCAGTAATCCACGGATACTGGTAATATGATACATTTTTTTTTTTGTCTGTTTGTTTTTTAAGGACTTTCCATTAAAAATTGTAAAACAACTTTGTAAGGCTGTACCGGGCTGTAAACTACTTTGCTAATACACCATGGGATGCAGAGGAAGAAGGAATAATAGACCTTTTTTTAAGGCTAAAGTCATCAATATTATAGATGCATTCCTTAGAATACATTATGATTTACCTCAAAGGATCATTTCCCATTAAATACCACCTGAGTACTACATTTTCAAAGTAAAAAAATAAACAAACATGAATTTACCATTATATTTTGAAATAATTTAACTTACAGAATGCTGAGAAGTGTTACGCAGTAACAGTGTGACAAAAAACACACCTTCAAAATGAATTTTTTTTTAACTAAATGCAGGGTCTGTCCAATTATGAAATTAATGTAAAACATTTACACCCATGGTGGAGTTTTAGGATACTCCCACATGAAAAACTGGTAGTGTTCACTATCCACAAATACCATATCAAGATTTGTTATGACTTCAATTAAATTTTACCTAATATTTTTAAAGCCTCCCATACAATGTTAATTAATGCAGCAGGAAGTCTTTACACATTGAAATCTATCTGTAGGTAACCAAGTGTTTATTTATACATCCCATACAAAAATCATATACCTATATACTCAGATAGTGAATGCCAACAACCTGAAATTTTAAAGAAACATTGGTTAAGACAAATCTAAATCAATCTGACAATACAATTGCCTGAATATTTTGAATATTCATAAAAATTCATATTGCTTCTTTCTAATGCCAAGAAAGAAGATTATAAGAACTTCCTCCCAGAAGCCTAGACATTTTAACACATTTTCCATTTCAACTTAAGACGAAACTTTAATCCTGAATCTTGATTTCTCTAAATAAAACATCTCATATTATAATACAAAGAATGCCATATGTAAGGCCACATCTTAATAAATTTATAATTTTTGGTTGAATATATATTTAAAAACTAGTCTAAGGCTTCTAAGAGTCAAGTTGCTAAAAAATAAGTACAACAATGTTTAAACTGAAGGTTAATGTTAAAAAACAAACAAACAAAAAAACAAACAAAAAACCACCACACACGCACACACACTTTAAGAACAGAAAAATAGAACGCTTTGCTACAAAAATCCCACTTATATATTACCACAAAAAATGACTAATATGTACAATGGATAAGCGTGCATTTAAGTACATACAACAGGGGAAAACATTTACAGACTATGGGATGCAAATGAACTTAATGAATAAAATTTAAAAAACAATTACCCATAAAACAGTGAGAATCTCAATACTATATTCTCAATAAAGAATTAGAACATAAACTTCCTCTTAAAATAAATTAAGCTGAAGCTTGAAACACAAAATCGGAGCCACCTTGTAAGATACAGAAAATGCAATGACCATTTAGAAAACCAAAATGTTGAGCACTCCAACAGAAAAGTTTTATAGTAGCATGTCATTATATAAAACAGTGTGTAGTTAGGTTATTGGCACATTTAAATACATTAAGGGAAAGATAAAGTCTTTACCCTTTCAACAATTTTCCCCTTCACTATAAAATATTATACAACATTCATTAAAACCTCCATGTTTATTTTTAGAATTGACCTTAAACTAGTAAAAAAGTAAAGCAACATTCTCCATAGGAGAATCAAATGAAAATAATACCTTAAGCTACAAGTAATTTGTGAACTTCAAATTGTATTTAACTGCTTAAGAATATTCTGGTAAAGGGGTCATTAAATTGGTTAACCTATGATCAACAGCCATGGCAAGTTATTTCAAATCTTAATAAAACAAAATAAAATACATGTAGATTCACATTGGAATATCCTTTCCACAACCTATTTCCTTTAACCAAAAGCAAACACATTCAATTCAAAGTGTTGCTTCAGAATCAACACCATTCAGGTGCTGTTATCACTCGTCCATAATTTTACCACTAGCTGAAAAGGAATGTGACTGCATAGCATAAACAAATGCTATGGCTCAAAATTCAACTCAAGTTTTGTTTTCATGTCCACTAGTTATTATAAATTAAGAAAAAAAAAGGTCTCTGAGACACTCACTTTTTTTTTTTTTGGCGTCTTTGTAAAGATTTCTCTCTTTGGATTGTTTTTAACATTAAAAAAAAGCTTTCAAATAACATCAATTCATAAACAACAGAAGGGGTATGACAAATAAAACAAGGTTTGCAATTTTTAGCTTTACTGCTATACATTCATATGTTACCAGGTGGAGAAAGACTTTGCAAAAAACTACTTGGTCAAACCAAAAGTCCTCCTGACGACACTTAAAACAATAGACTAGATAGAAGCAAACAAATCTAGTACACTCACACCGTCTGCAACAAAAGTCATGTAATGAAGTAAGCCAAGCAGGGAGAAGAATAATATAGAAGGAACAATTAAAAGGTTCCACTGATAAAAAAATGAAAAGGTAGATGAAGGATTAAATTAGTACAAAACTTCCAGTTTCACTTCAAGTAGAGATTTTTGTGATTTCATTTTAAAACTGTTCATAGAAAATTTTATTCTCATGGACATTTTACTTACCTTTTAATCTTACTATAAACTAATTTCCCTTGTAATATATGTAAGTCCAAACTTCTTCACATTAGGGCATTGTAATTAAAATATAAAAAAGCTTAAGAAATGACAAAAACTTACAACACCTATACATAAAACAAGAAAACATATTTTGATACAACTTTCAAATAATGTTAAAAAGGCAACTGCATTTTCAACAAGACAAAATATTTTAAAAATCATTTTTGAGAGCAAACAGTTCTGGTAAACACCAATGATCCCTTACACAAATACTCCACTCACAAAATATAAAACTAGTAATAATATAATTTGAAACAGCTAATTTTGTGAGTAGTTTGAAAGCAGACAAGACAAAACTGAAGAAAGGCAATGCAAATTTCTAGAGGGCTTGTATGGTTGCACATTAGGTAATAGCTATGGTACCAAAATATGTTTAAGCATTGTCCTAAAATTTGGCCATACTTTAAAAACCAATGTGTACTATCCAAAGGTCTCTCAAAGATTATCAGATCTTAAAAATATATTTTAAAAAAACAAATTAGCCTGTTTAAGAATTTTAACTCAAATTTCTGAAATAGTGATTCAGAATTATCTTTCCATAAAAATATCCAGTTGATGATCTGGTCTCTGCTAATTTTACAATTAAGAACACATGTAAGCCAGATGCTTTTCATGTAGGCCTTCATGTAAGGCAGGTTTTTTTTGAGGGGATGGGGAGAATCTTTGATTAACTCTAGCATGAAATCAACAGGCTGCACAAAAATATATAGAATTTCTCAACTGTAGAGACAGGTACATCTATAATCTCCCATTACACTGGAAAAAACAACCCTATGTTAATACAACTTCACATCCTTCAGAAACTGGTACCAACTGGAAAATAAAACCAAGGCTCTTCCTACATTTATCTGCCGCATGACTGTATTTACACTGCCTATGGCTTCAAAGTTAAACCATAAGCATCATCAATAAAAATCAGTAAATCACTATAGCATCAAATCAGAATTCAAAATCTCACTTCAATGCTAGCAGTTCACAATTAAGTGTTTCAGTACACCTGTGTTGTAATTAAACTGCACTACTGTAGCAAATATGTGTGAGACTTTTCTAAAATGTTAAAACCTCAACATTCTTTGACCCCTAGTGCATCGATGGGATTTGCTGTGTCTGTCAAATTTCAGTTTTTACAAGTTTACATACCATTCAGCAAAGTCACAAGCTAACTAGGTAAAAACAGCTAGAAAAGCAGAATATAGAAATATTAAATATCCATGTAATCACCTATTCTAATATCAAAATCAAGGGCAAGAGACACTTAATTAGTTATGTTTAATTCACTGAACGCAAGATTAGATTGATGCATATCCAAAACCGCTATTGCAATGCTTTTTTTTTTAAAGGACAGTAAAAATGTTGTCATAGTAACATTATCTTTAGATATTGCTGAACACAAGACTTTCCCTGAGGTGTAAACATCAAATAACTTGAACAGCTTTACACATCAGCCCCATTAAACAGTTTATTACAACACTACATCTATTGTAATCAAAGTGGTGCTGTTTACAGACATTATCATATGAACATTTTTAACAAGAACAAACTACTATAAAAACAAGCATATACTTGACTTTTTTTTTCCAATTGCTTGCACATTATAATGGCCAAATGTATATAACCAGTAATAAAGTTGCAAAAGCTATTAACTTTTTAAATCACACAGGTTTCCTTCAAATAAAACAGTTAAGCAACATAAAAAATAAAAGTAGAGCTACTGGTTACCATTTATGCAGATTTGCTTTATTCAGATCTATTCCTGTTCAGTTTATCCATGAATCCTTACAGGTTCAGTTCAATCACAAGAAGCAAACTGCTGGACAAGCGTCATTTTCCCCCATGAAGACTGTTTTGTCTTGGAAGTTGTTCCTCTTCCTTCAGCTGTAATGTGTCAAAATTTGTGATGTAGATTTTGCTATTCCCCATCATACACAGAAAAACGCTGGCTTAACTATACATACACAAGTCGTGCATCTACTTCACTGTTATGTATTCTAGCACAAAATAAGAATTAAATGAAACAGTAGCTGCCTGTGTGGTGGAGAAATGCTCCCAATTTATTTGATAATTAAAAAATGATACATTAATTACATTCTTCTTAGATAATTGCCTTTGAAATTTAATGACTAAGACAAATTAAAATATAGCAGCTACTGTTTCTATGATGATGGAAAACAGTCATAAGTCATTTTCTAAAATATGTATACTACAAAAATAAATGGAAAAATGTTTGGATGATTTTAATGTAGATTTCATTCACCCACATATCAATTCTATATTAATTAATTTAACAATGCTAAACTGAATATAAAATGCAATAAATTTTACAAATCAACTATTTGACAGCATACAGGAACTTCTGTAATTGTTATAAATCAAATGGTGTTCCATGTTACAAAATTTATAAATAGTTCAATATGGACATTAAATAAATATGACATCCACATACAAATCTTTTAGACATAATACAAACTTGACACATTTACTTTACTTTCACTCTATTCCACCTATTTCAAAATATCTAATATAGAAGCATAAACTAACCAAAAACAAGCTAAATAGGAATCGGAATCTACAATGATAAATTTCATTGTAAACCCACATAAAGGAAAAAAAAAAAAACAAAAAACCAATAAAATTGATAAACCAAAGTCTCAAGAATACATATGTAAGCAAACTGCATGTAGAGTTCACAAAAGAAACATTCATTTAATTTGGAAGTGTTCCCAGAAACAACGAAGTTTTAAGTGATTTAAGCATCCAAAGGGCACAATGTTCAGTACTAAGTAAAAGTAATTTTAAAATACTTTTGCTCTACAATTAATTTCTGTCACAACTATAAATTTATCTTTATGTCTTTATCTTTTATGTTCTTTTTCCCCCTAACTAGGAAGTATCTTAAGAACATCAACACACATATGTATGTATTCATACTGTCCAGCAATAATAACTAATTTTAAAACTAAAAGGAAAAACCAGATGTTATATAACTTTGGTCTTTTTCTCCTAAATAGTGTCTATATGCCTATATTTTTTTAGATACACGTAAGTAATTTCCAATGTTACCATTTTAATGTTCCTTCATCTTATGCTGATGAAGCTTATTTAGTGGAATTATTTCATAGAAAAAAATATAAAATGTCTACTATCAAAAGTTTTATTTTTATTACTTGTAAAGTATTGGGGGTGGGATGGGGTGGAGATTGAACCCAAGACCTCATGCATGCTAAGCATGCACCTTACCAATGAGCAATACCCCCAGGCCTGCAATGTATATGTATTAAAAAAAAAAAAAAGTATTATTAGGAAATTCAAAAATCTTACTGCAAAAGTATACTATCTCCCTATTTTAATTTTTTTGTTAGTTGTCAATGGACCTTTATTTTATTTATTTATATGCAGTATTGAGAATTGAACCCAGTGCCTCACACAGGCTAAGCAAGTGCTTTGCCACTGAGCCACAAACCCAGCCACCGTATTTTTTAAAAAATTTTGCTGAAAAAGGTGAAGAAGAAAAACAACAATAAAACTAAGCCCACAGCAGGTCATTAAGAGGAAAAAATATTTTGAAATCACAGTGAGCAAAACAAAAATATTCAACCCTTCTATGACAGGTGTAGTATAAGGCCAGCCTGGGCAACTTGGTGAAACCCTATCTCAAGAGTGAAAAATAAAAAGGGAAGGGGATGTAGCTCAGTGGTAGAGTACCTCTAGATTCACTCCCAAGTACTCAGAAGTGGGAGGAGGAGGCATGTACTGCAATTTTATATCAATCAGTATTACTCCAAATGGAAATTTTATTACTTTTAATATAGAGAATCCATTTAAGTTACAATACACATTTTTATCCAGAATTAATGCGCTCATCTTTTGCATGATTATACTTTATAGATTTAAGTCTTTACTATTAATAAATCTCTAATTTTCACCATACGCACATAAAATTTGGGGGATAATTTAAGTATTTGTTTCTATTCCTAAACACTTTTACATTTATCCACTTGGAAATACAAATTTTACAATCTCAAAAGAAGGCAAATTTGAAGGCAACGTAACCCATTTCCAATAATCCAATTTCATATTATAGTCTCAAATATCTAAGTAAACATCTACATAAACAAAGATATCAAAAAGAAGCTTCAAAGTGAAAAATACATCCAATGCCCATGTTTTCAGAATAGTATCTGGTCAAATCTGCATTGTCAAAGCCACACAATTACTTGCTTTAGCTAAAAGACAAATGAAATCTACCACTCTACAGACTAAAGTGACCACTAAGTAAAATCTTAATACATAGAGAAGTACCTGCATTTTTAGATAATATAAAATCAACCCATTATTAACAGCTCAAATTATGAGTGTTTCTGTTAGAAACTTAGATATCTAAGCAAATTTGTTAGCATTAGTATATTAAACCCACGGTAAATTCAACTGTTAAGTAAAATGCTCTAAGGTGTATTTGTTAGAGCACTTTTATAGGTTTCCATGTTAATATATTTAATTAAAAAGATCTGAGGTGGGCAAGAAAAGTGTTTAAAAACGTGTTAACAGATATTTAGTTTCTTCTTATAGTGACTAGAACATCATACAAAAACCATTCTGTTTATTGTAGATGTTTACAAAAAGTTCCTTGCTACCACATCTCCTATTTTTACCTTTCTACCTCTGGACATGGTACTTACCTCATTTCAACTATAACATATTTACTACTCTATAATTAAACACGTATACAATTGCTGCTCTAGGCAACTTACTGAATATTAGAAATAAACCCCATCACAAAGAAAAATCAACTTTGTTCCAAGGATTCACAAAATAGACATTTCCAAACAAGCTGCTTGTTATTTAGAATTCACTGTGAGTCAAAACATGCTACCACGGACGGCAAATTCATAAATTTGGATAGCATCAATGGCATCCTTACCCCAATTGGTTATCAGGTTTTCTTTAAAACAATGCTAACTAAATAGTCATTCAACACATTATTTATTCAAAACAATCTAATTTACAAACTAAAACAATGGTAGTAAATTTCACACTGAGATGAGGGTGAGAGCAAGGTGACTCACATTGGCATTGGCATTGAATTTTTTTTTAACAAGTAACATTATTCATTTATAAACAAAAGTATATTCTTAAACCACAGTGAGCAAAACACACTATACATCCATTAAAGGGATCACTTCCTGGCCTCTCGTCACTTTTGAGTAAGATAGCTGTGTAGTCAGACAGGTTTTGCAAATAACACTAAAAGCAAGAGAAATTAGAACTAACGAAATTAGAGCTAGCATATCCAAATGAAGCAGAGCAGTTAAGCTATTTGAGAAGGCACAAGGAAACACAGGGCTGGGAAATATTTAGGTAGATCTCAGATGATCTAAGAATTTCAGAAATAATTTTTACATCTTATTACAACCAGTTATCATTCATCAGGCAACCAAGAGAATAATTTTCACAAATGGCTCACTTTAACACTAATTTCTAAGCAGATTAAAACACCTTAACATAAGAACTTTTTATTCTTTAGGCTTTTTCTTTTTCCCCCAATTATCAACAAAACTATAATAAGCAGAATAAGCAATGCAAAGCACCCTACTTCCTGTGCAGTAATAAAACTAAAGACATGTTATTTGTGGTAGAAGTAATCTCATAGTCAAGGAAAAGTATAGTTACTAATCCAGACCTGATACACAAATGTTAAAAACTTTTATCAAGGAAATGGATAATTATTTGAGAATATATAAAACCTCATAACTTAAGAGAGCAGGAAAGTGAAATAAAGAAAATTTAAAAATACAATTTGCTTTCATTACTCTTCAGCATGCAAAAACTGAATTACAAACAGAAATTTGATGAGTAGGCCTGTTTCAAACAAGTAATAAGGAATAAAACCTAAAATAAAATAACTAATGAATGTAAAATTATTTTTGTAATAAGTGTACAATCTTAAATCACTTTTATTTTGCTCAGAGTGGTCTGAGAATAGAGGCAAAAATTACAGAATATGAAACACAATTTACATACTGAAATTTACAATATTGATATTTTCCTCATTGAAATATTATCTACTCAAACTTAATATTAAATGCTTTTAGAAAAACTAATACATTTTAAAAATGAGAATGTAATTAACATTACCCAACAGTTCAAACACAAAAAAACCAAGATGGGACAGACATTAACAGCTTGCCAACATCACTGTTTCCAGTTAAATTAAGAACTTGCCCGTTTAGCCATTCATCATCTCTTTAATAATAGATTACATTATTACTTATTTGTATACAGACTTACTACTGACATTCACTTTAGCTTTCAAGTCACTTTATTCATTTTATTCCATTTAAGATTTACATGAAAGCTCAAAAGGACTCATATTTAAAAACTTCTAAACAGGTCACAATAGACCTTATAATAGTAACGAAATTTGTAAATCTTTTTTAAAGAAGTTTTTCACTTGAATATAATCCCAGTCCCCATTCCCTTTATTCATGTCTACTTCCATAATAAATAATGTTTGGTATAGCAAAGGTACAATAATCCAGAATAACAGAATTATTTTTTGCAATGGAAATGCTTATGTAAAGTTTTGCTTGGATGAAGCAACTGAAGCATTACAATATTACAACTCAATTCTGATTAATGTACAAACAACATGGGAATTCTGGCATAGTACATCAGGGATTAAGAAAAATGTCAACAATAGTTTTCACGTTAGGAATTCATAGTTAATGTCTGAATGTTATGAAACTCAAATCATGATCTGTTTTGGTGCACTCATTACTAAAATATAAATCCAAAGTATTTAAAATCAATGGACTTTTTAGGAGGAATTTACTTGCTTGACTTCACTAGCTTTACTAAAACTGGTATGAAAACTATCCCTAATTAACTTTGGGTATAAACTGGTTTAGAGACCCCTTTGATGGGCACATCCAGTTTTGAAAATGTTCTCAAGTTTCATTATCATGCCTTTGGTAACCAGAAAACTGGTGGCAACTTATAAAGTCTTATGGAAAGAAAAAAAAAAAAAAAGATTCAAGTTGTAGAATTTAAACGTTTCTATAAATGAAAAGGATAATACAGTTAAACATTGCAAGTTATGCCCTGGCAACAATTCACTTTAATCACTGCTAGATAATAAGAATTTTTCATAGGACAGGATCAGAGGTATTCAACTTGTGTGTGTGTATGTGTGTGTGGGGGGGCCTACATCTTTAAAATTTACTGTTTAGACTTACAAGGCACAACATTCAATTTTCACATCCAAAACAAATATCAATTTCAATAAGCTTAGTTTTAAAATAAAAGATGTTTTGTTTCATATTAAAGGAATGCTTTGAGAATGGCATGTTAAATTTTGTAATACAATACATAGAACTATATAAAAAAATAAAATTTTGAAAAATATCCAAGCTGCATATTCAAAATGCAAGGAAAAAAAGTATTGAAATGGGCCTTCTCATTTTAAAAGTCCCTAAAATTGCAAACAGTGTAATAGCTTATCTGTGTTCCATAAAAATGTTTTAAATACTTATTTCCTATAAGTATTATTCAAAAATGATTGTTTGCTAATATATGTGTTATGGTTAAAGAAATTTCTCTGTTACAGAATTACATACACTTGATAAAATTTCTGATATATGCCTATTACAGTTTAAATACTAACAATTACCATTGCTGAATTTTCAGTAAGTTTCCCATGAATTGCACTTATTTACTTAGGGGTTTGTTTTAAGCCTAATTTAATTTGTATATGCCACCAACATATGAAGAAAAAATATCTTGTTTACAGAATAACCTTCATGTCTTAAGCACAAGACTTATAGTGACCTCCCCACACTCTTCACATGGATAAAATGCTATTCACAAATATAAAAATAAAATTACATGGGAAAATGAAGCATAAACAGACAATTCTCACTTTATGAAAAATGTACAAGAAATAGTTTAAAATACAGAAAAAAAAGACAATGATTATGGTTTATGAATGAAACATCAAAGGAAATTATTATAAGATTATTCTAACCTGGGATGTATGGCATGACACAATTAAAAATTTTGGTGTATGTACCCTGAACCCCATTTTAATTAAATAACTTTTTCATCTTCTTTGCAAATTAAAGGATAATGTTTTTCTTTTAAAAACAAAAACCAGATGCCAGAAAAAGTGTCTTTAAAAAAAAAAAATTAAAGAAAAAAGCTCCTTCCATGACGAGAAAACATCCTTTTATAAATATAGTGTTAGACTTTCTTTAAAAGTTTTAGGGACAAATGAAGTTAGTTCAAGGAAATACAGAAATCTTATTTTTAAAAATCCAAGCACATAATATTTATATCTGAAATGACTCCCTGATAGATATTTTTAATACTTTAAATCACATGCAAACTATGTATGTGATTACAAAAATCCCGATTTTTAGATTTTAGAAGTACACAATGAGTCCTCTTGATTATTTTTCTTGCTTTAATACCATTAGTGATCTGAAATCTAAAAACAATTAATACAACATTCAAGGACAAAAGTCAAAAAGTTTTACCTGTGATCACTTACCTGTTTTCTCAGATGTTTCCAGAATTTTAAATTCAGAACAAGTACTTGGACCATTTATATGTAGATATATACTGTATAAACAATAGCCTTGGAGTTATAATGACTGTTAATAATGCACATGCTAAATATAATAGGAACAAGGAATACCCACCTTCTAACGATGACGATACTCTCGCTCTCGGTCACGTTCTCGGTCTCGGTCTCGATCACGATCCCGGTGTCTCTCTCGTTCTCTGCTTCTCTCTCTATAATAATCATCATGGCGATCTCTACTACGGGATTTATGACGCCGACTCTTTTCTCGTGATCTACTATGGTCCCTCTCTCTTGATCGTTCACGTCTTCTAAAAGAAATTACTGGATTAATGCTCTCCATAACTGAAAAATATAGTACAGTTGTCCTCCCCCAACCCTTATATGTGGTTCCACTTTCTGTGGTTTTAGTTACTCACATCAACCACAGTCAGGATTACAGTTTTAAACTGCACACCATTCTGAAGTATATGATGAAATCTTACATTGTCCTGATAAATCCTACCTGGGATGTGAATCATCCCCTTCTGCAGAACATGAAGACTGTACATACTTCCTGTCCATTTAGTAGCTATCTTAAGTTATCACACCAAGTGTCATGGTATTACAGCACTGAGTTAATTAAGCAACTTTTATTTAATAATAGCTCCAAGTGAAATTCAGATATGGTTAAGTGAAAAGGTGAAAGTTACTGACTTAATAAGGAAAGAAAAATCATGCTGAGATTGCTAAGCTCCACAGTAAGAGCCTGTGAAATTGTGAAGGTATTTGTGTTTTAGTATCACATCTCAAAATGCAAAAGTTACACACAGTGTTTGGTATGTGCTTAATTAAGACAGAAAAGAAACATGATGAAATATTACTCAGCAATAAGAGAGAATAAAATCATGGCATCTGCAGGTGAATGGAGTTAGAGAAGATAATGCTAAGTTAGCCAATTCCAAAAACCCAAATGCCGAATGTTTTATTTTTATTTTATTTTATTTTTTTTTAGAAAGAGTGAGAGAGGAGAGAGAATTTTTAATATTTATTTTTCAGTTCTCGGTGGACATAACATCTTTGTTGGTATGTGGTGCTGAGAATCGAACCCGGGCCGCACGCATGCCAGGCGAGCGCCCTACCGCTTGAGCCACATCCCCAGCCCCTGAATGTTTTATCTGATATAAGGAGGCTGATTTATAGTGGGGTAGGGAGTGGGAACATGAGAGGAATACACAAAGTCTAGATAGGGAAGAGGGGTGGGAAGGGAAGGGAGGGGCTATGGTGTTAGAAATGATGGTGGAACACGATGGTCATCATTATCCAAAGTACATGTATGAAGATATGAATTGGTGTGAATATACTTTGTATACAACAAGATATGAAAAACTTGTGCTCTATATATGATTTGAATTGTAATGTATTCCACTGTCATACATAAATTAAAAAATTAATTAAAAAAGACAGAAAAGACATTATCATAGAGTTCAATAAAATCTGGAGTTTCAGTCATACACTAGGGTCTTGAAAAATATTCTTTGTGGGTAAGTGGGGAACTACTATATTTGGTGTTTAAAAAAAATTCTAAGGCAAAAAATTCTTTGTAAACATAGTTTAGACTTACTATACTGACCTGTCAATAATTTACTAACTCATGAATAAATATGAACCAAAATTTAATTTCCTAAAACTATTCACCAAAAAATTGTGAAGCCAAATTACAGAATATATCACACCTGTATTAGTAGCTTAAAACACATAGCAATTACGGAATAAGCAAACTGGTAAAGGACAGAAAATATCAAAGCACTTATGTTTCAAGCTAAAGAACATCTTGAATATAATTATTTAGATAAAAAATTTACAAAATGACTTAATATACAGTGGGGCTTAAAAACAAATACCACCTACGAACACATTCTTAAACCTATATAGTTGGTTTTCCATATCCAATAAAAAAATTGCAGCTGTATTGAACACAGACTTTTTCTTGTCACTATCCCCTAAACAATACAATATAACACAACTATTTACACAGGATTTACACCGTATTGTATATTGGAAGTAAAGTTAGGATGTTTTTTAAAGTACACAGGAGTAAACGGTAGGAGAGAGGGGAAAAAAGTACAAGAAAGGATGATGAGTGTGGGCCATACATAAATATTCTGTTTTATGTAAGGAATCCAAACAACTACAGATTCTGGTATTTTCAGGGGTCCTGACACAACCTCCCACAGATGCCAAGAGATCAATGTATATAAATATCAATTTTACATTTTTAGCTAGCCAAAATATGACTTAGCAGGAGTACTATACCTCATTAAGAAACTTTTTTTTTTTTGGTACCAGGGATTAAACTCAGGGGCACCTGACCACTGAGCCACATCCCCAGCCCTATTTTGTATTTTATTTAGAGAAAGGGTCTCACTTAGGTTAGCACCTCGCTTTTTCTGAGGCTGGGTTTGAACTCACAATCCTCCTGCCTCAGCCTCCCAAACTGCTGGGATTACAGTGTGCGTGACCACGCCCAGCAAGAAACTTTCCTGTGTTTATCTGGAGGAGGAGGGAAGGCAGAGGAGAAGCTCACAATTAGGACTTGTAGAAAGAATTGGTATACTATTCACACTGTATATTATAAGTAGAAATATTTTCATGAGCTGCCTTTAAAAACAACAATGACAAAAAAAAAAAGTCCACAAAAAAACCAGACTTTTAACCAGAGTATAAAGCCTAAAAGACCATTAGATCTTCAAAATTTAAAATAAGAAAATAATAATTGTTGGCTGAGCAGGTTGGTACATGCCTGTAATCCCAGCTAATTGGGAGACTGACACAGGGCGGTCTCAAGTGCAGGGCCAGCCTGGGCAACTTAGCGAAAAGCCCTATTGCAAAATAAATAAAAAAGGGTGAAGACATAGCTCAGTGGTAGAGCACCCTGGGTTCAACTCCCAATACTGCTAAAAAAAATAAATAACCACCATCTATTAGTTTGAATAAGAATACCTTTTATCATGCATTTCTGAACCAAACAGCTAGATTTAAACATTATTAGGTGCTAAGCCTTGATCAAAGTGCAAGTTCTTACTTTGTATTAAAACAAAAGAAAATGCATGATATGGCCTTTAGTTATGAAATTTCTGTTTGGATATAAAGATCCTTACACTGGGTCAGAAAGATAATAATAATACATTTGGAGACCATGCCAAAGACAAATTCCTTTCCTTCAACTTAACGAAGACTATCTCCAGATAAAGTCCACTTGTCAAAAATATACAGTATTTCAAGATTGCCTAATTCAAAAAGACTTCAAAAATCTTGTCTATTAAATCATAACTCCCTCATTCAAAAACATTTATTCCATACCAGGCAATGTTCAGACATGAGAAACACTATACTATAGTAAACAGAATAGCTAAAGCCCTTCTCTTCATTCATTATGAGTTGTAGTCAGAAAAAAGGGGAAATAACAAACAAGAAAAGGTTACAGTAAGTACAATGAAAGAAACAGAATGATATGACGGACTAACCTGGGATAAAAGGCCTCCCCTTAGAAATCAAATTAAGTTGAGATGTGAAGGAATACGGATCCAAAGATATAGACAGGGAAAAGGGTTCCCAACAGAAGGAATATCAAATACACAATTAGAGAGATGGCCAAATATTTGATGTGTCCCAAAGAAGGGATTCCAATTTGGCTAGAGAATAGTGACTAAGGGGAGAGGTACAAAACAAGGCTAAAAAGAAGACTACATCATATAGTGCCTCAATTTTTACAGGTAAGAGTGAACAGGAGGCATATAGTGCTTCAATGCTTACAAATTTATTTTAAATAAAAGCCTTCTAAAGGATTTTAAGCAAATACCTGATTTGATATAGTTTAAAAATTCACTCTGACGGAGTAAAAAGTAAGTAAAATCGAAGTCATCCTTTAAAGTCCCAAACACAGTAGTACTTTCTCCTTTTGCTAACTAGCAGCTTTAAAAAGACGTGGGACAGGAAAGTTTTACCTTGATCCAGAACCATATGACTTGGATTCAATTCCATGAAGGCAATCTTGCAAAGAGCTAATAAGAACTTTGCAACGATCATCTGCAGATACTTTGGATTGTTTAATTAAAGAAATTGCAGTTACCAATGTCTCAATAGCACTCCCATAATCACCTATAGGGGAAAGGAAAACAGATGATGTCAAACAAATTTTGTTTTCAAAATGCCATTAAAGCACTTGGGGATAAAAGTGATAAAGCATTTTACCAAATTATGTGCTTTTAAATGATAGTATCTTTTTCTGTGTGCTTCAAAATTTGCAACAGGCTTTTACGTTCATGAAATCAACAAAATTTATTGTTACAGCTCTGTGAAACAAGTTATTTTGCAAATATGAGAAAAAAATGAGTTGTCATAGGTCCCTAAAACATTAACAGTGAAGGTTAGAACTTATATCTAAACCTAATAAAATTAGGGGTCTTTCCACTATATTGTGACATACAGCTTCTTTCAATGCTTTAAAAATAGATAGCTAACGACATCAGAATATAAAAAGACTAAATTTTTAAGACTGCACTTAAGTTTTTAGATAATTCTTAATAACATAAATAAGAAATACTAATACTGGGAGAAATATACAAACCAGCACTGGCATCAGACACAGCTCTTGAAATAGCACTGCTTGAGATTGCCCTATTTCTATTCATGATTTCTTCAAACTCAGCTTCACTCAGTGGTGTTCTTGCAGTATCCATTTCCCTATAAAAGAAAAAAAAATCATAAATTGCTATTTAATAGATTTTAGTTAGTCAAAACAGTGTAAGCCAATTCATATTAGCAGTTTTTAACATGCGCATGAAAGATAATAGTTACTTGTCCATATGGAAGATGTTATTTTTCCTACACAAAGAACAAGTCTAAGCAAAATTATCTTATACTAGTGTCTTTCAGGTGAAATAAAGGACTTAGAATCCTCATCTCTTTGGAGGGCAGAAATGATATATTTACATTTTATACAATAGAATAGATTTCACAGAATCACTGTTCTTATCATTAATCAAATACTTTAACTGCTATATGCAAACTTACCTTCCAGGAGGGCCATAGTCACCCCTATCATATGGTGGAGGTCGGCCATATGGGTCTGTTGGTGGCGGACCTCTACTATCTGATGTAGGCATGCCACTGTTAGTTGGTGGAGGAAAGAAAGCCGGATTCACATGTGGAGCTGGCGGCGGGGCACCTGGAGGTGGTCCCGGAAGATGCGGAGGAGGAGCAAGTGTAAGGGGTGGCCCAAGTGGACCAGGTGGGCGAGGTGGAAAGGGGCCTGGAGGTGGAGGTGGTCCCTGTTGTGGAGGTGGTGGCCCAGGAGGGGGGCCATAACCTGGAACTGGAGGTGGAGGCCCAGGAGGAAGTGGACCCAATGGAGGCTGACCAAAAGGTTGTCCAGGAAAAAGAACTGGTGGTGGAGGGCGATCTCCTCGATTAGGAGGCCCAGCTAGAGGAGGAGGCAGAACCTGACCGGGAGGTGGAGGGCCAGGTGGGCCAGGTGGGCCAGGAGGACCTAAGGGTGGACGTGGTGGAGTCTGTCCAGCTATAGAATAAAGGAGAGAGAAAAAACCACTTCAATAATAAAGGCATTTTAACTTTTATATGACAAAATTTACTTTTAAAGTACAACTTATAAACCAAGATTCTTTCTTTTTAAATAAAACCCATATCGTAAACACTATACTAATAACTACAAAGATGAAGAATATTCTTACATTTATAACTAGCTTACTTTATGCTTAAGAAAAATTACTAAAACAAAAGATTACAGTGCTTAGAGTTATTTTCCATCTTTCAGTGCATATACACTTCTTACAGTGAAATCACCCACCTTATATTCTACTCTGATGCCAAGCTAGAAAGTGAAACAAGGAAAAATGGTCTTGAAAGGATTTTTTAAGAGGTAAGAAAATAAGACGGATGTAAATATTCTATATATAAGTCAAGCAAGTTTGGAGAAAAATAAAGACCTTTTAGGCCAAAAATGGGTATTTCCTCTATGCTGTGCCCCATATGCCATGGAATCCTAGTTTCCAGGAACAAAGGCCGAGTTCCTTTAACAAGATGCTTGATCAAATTTCCTGGATTCCAAAAATAGCATAACAAGGAGAGTAAGTCACATTAATAATGCATTACTTGAAAAAGAGAGAAAAGGAAAAGAGGTATTAAGGTAGATACGTTTTATCCATGGTAATTTAATAAAAGTTTTACCTGGAAAAGGTGGGGGTGGCCCTCCTGGTCCTGCTGGCCCAGGAAATCTGTCCCCACCGGGAACAGCCCCCGGAAAACGGCCCCGTCCTCTACCACCTTGTGGAAATGCTGCTCGTGAACTGCCTCCTGGAGGACCAGCTTTACCTTCCCCAGACATCTGTCCCGATTGTGTAGCTGCAAACATCCAAATACTCATAAATAGCACTTATACATTTCTCTGAAATGTAACCATTTACATTACAAACTATTCTATTTCAAAGTTCATTTATACTATACTAAATATTAACTTGCAGATGTCTTAGGCCTGTGCAAGTTACTTGAGAAGTATTGGTTAGGGAAACATTCACATCTATTTAAGTTCTTTTGAAGTCTTGAAATGTCCATATTTAAATGTTATTTTCACTGAGTAAGAGTTTCTTTCAAAATACCAGTACTCTGCAGCAGCCAAGACCGAAATTCTTCAACAGAAATCTTAATTTCAGTAGCACAGATTCATTTAAATTTGATAATGTATTCTTCAGATAAGTGCTAAAACATTAAAAGAGAAACAACCACTTGAATTTCTGTTAATTACATGTTCATCCGTGTTATCTATTTAAATGTTAACATTAGCTAAGTGTGTAAATGACAAATCTTTTCTATATTCACTTTGATGAAAAAAGGTCTTGGTGCCAAAAAGCAAACTTGATAAATACTTTCTGGTAATAAGTGGTCTCTCACCAATCATAACATAACATATAACCATAACATACATATATCTTTTCTTGAGTCTAAGGATTAGGATATAGTTTCTTCCTTTCTCTAACACGAGAATGACAGGACAAGCATGGCAGCTATAGAATTTACACACTAGGGCTGGGGTTGTGGCTCAGTGGTACAGCGCTTGCCTAGCATGCGTGAGGCACTAGGTTCAATCCCCAGCACCACATGGGACAAAAAGAAAAAAAACTTCTTACACTATCATGTAGTATTGAGTCTGACAACTGGCGAAAAATGAATGGAAGTAGGGGTCCAGTATGTGGATACACAGTCAAAACCAGTAATTAAATCAATTCAAAGCATGAACTTTATAAAAACAAGTCTTCAAAGAACTAAATATTAAGACTAAGTATATAACACCTAACAAATGGTAGAAACAATGGTTAAAATACACATCTTTAAAAAAAAGACCTAAGAGATCACTTACTTTTCCTGGACTGCATTTCAAATTGACTCAGGAACTGTTTATTGCAGGGAGTTACAACAGGATTCTGACCATGAAGTTCTCTCTTAGGCAACAGATCCATTAACTTTTTTGAAGATGCCTCAGATCCAACACCAACGAGGGCAAATCTAAAAGGTGTTTAAAAAGGGGTAGAGGTATAAAAGTAAGGAGGAATAAATAATGATAATGTTATTAAAAAGAAAGTGGTCTGAACTTACTTTTATGTAAAACCAAAACACAATCCTGAGAATATTTCTTAAAGTTTCACAAGTTTACACTTTCATACCTATTTAATACAGAACTCACTCACTTAAAATGTACATTTCAGAGGCTTTCAGTTTGAGTTTTACCACCATCATCATAGTCAATTGTGGACCATTTTCATTACCCTCCAAATGAAACTCCATACCCCATTAGCCATCACTCTCATTTCCTCCCATCCCTCAATCCTAGGAAACCACAATTCCACTTTCTGTATGTGTGAATTTACATAGTCTGAAATTTCATATAAATGATATTATACAATGTGTCTTCTTTTATGACCAGCTTCTTTTATTTAGCATTAATATTTTTTTTCAAAAATTGTTTTGTAGTTGTAGATGGTCAGAATGCCTTTATTTCCTTTTTTATGTGGCGCTAAGGATCCAACCCAGTTTCTTGCAAGTGCTAGGCAAGCACTGTCACAGAGCTACAGCCCCAGCCCCAACCTTAATATTTTCAAGGTTCATCTATGTTGTAGTATCAGCACTTCATTTTTTACGACTAATATATTATAGACATATAACTTTAAAAAAAAATCCACATCAGTTCATAGGCATTTATGTTATTTTCACTTTTTACTGCCATGAAATATGTTCAACAAATCAAACAATGATGAAATACCATTTCATACTCACTAATATGAATATAATAAAAGATGTTTAACAAATGCTAGTGAGAATATGAAGAAACTAGAATCCTTGTGCATTGATGATGGGCATATAAAATCATGCAACCACTTTGGCAAACAATCTAGTGGCTCCTCAAATCATTAGATATAGAGCTGCCATAACCCAATATTGCTACTCCTAGATATAAATCCAACAGAATGAAAAGATATGTTTACACAAAACTGGTAAACAAATATTCACAGGGATGTTTTCAGTAAGAACACAAAGTGGAAACAACCCAAATGTTCATCAAGGAGTTTTATTGTTGTTGTTTTTTTAAGTGCTATATTGCAGTGGTGCAAACCCATAATCCCAGAGACTTGGGAGGCTGAGGCTCTCAGCAACTTAGCAAGACCTGTCTCAAAAAAAAAAAAAAAAAAAAAAAAAAAGGGCTGGGGATGGAGCTCAAGGATAAAAGCACCCCTGGGTTCAATTTCCATTACCAATATATTAAAAACAAATTTAAAAAAAGTGCTACATCCACATAATGGGACATTATTCGTCCATAAAAAGAAAAGCTAATACCTGCAATGACATGGATAAATCTTCAAAACATCATTCTAAGTGAAAAAAAGCTAGATACACAAAACTGCATATTCTATGATTTAACTTACATAAAATAGCCAAGACAGGCAAATCCAGATATAGAAAGTACATTAGTGGTTGTAAGCAAAGAGGGGGAAAGAAATTAGGGAGTGACTAACAATAGGCATAGGGTTTCTGAAATTAGATAGTAGCCATGATTGCTCAATTTTGTAAATATGCTAAAAACAAAACAAAAACAAAAAGCCACTGAATTATACACCTTATAGGAATATATTTTATGTTGTGTAAATTATATTTCAACAATAAAAATTATTTTTAAAACCCTAAATGATTATCAATTTCAAATATAGAAATTCGAGATTACTGGGGGGTAAGGATTTTAGGAGCTTACAGCCCTAATTTTCAATATGGTTCTTATTCTTAACGAGATCCCTTATTCTAGCCAAAAAATTCTGTTGCTGATCTAATATTATCTTGGGTCACAACATTTAGAAACAACTTAATTGGGACTGAGGGTATAGTCCAGTAGCAGAGTATGGGCTTAACATGTGCCAGATCCTGGGTTCATTCCCCAGCATTAAAAATTAAAAACAAAAGCAAAATAATTCATTTAACAATTACACATTGAGCACCATCTTCTATATGCCAGCACCATTCTAGCTGGATACACAACAGTGAATAAAACAAAATTTCTGTTTTCATGGAGCTTACAATCTAGTAGGAAAAGACAAGTTTACAAACAAGTAAATAAAATGTTTTATAGTAGAGAAAAAATAAAGGAGACAGGTTAAGAAAGTTACTATTTTGTACAGGGTGGCCAAGAAAGAGAATTCTTACTAAAAAGTCTGAGTCTAGAATGAAATAAAAGAGTGAGCCATGTGGTATTTGGGGGAAAACCCGGGTCAAGAAAAGTAAACAGGGCTGGGGATATATAGCTCACTTGGTAGAGTGATTGCCTTGTATGCCCAAGGCCCTGGGTTCAAACCCTAGCACCACAAAAAAGTGGGGGGACCAGTGGGGTGGGGTGAACAGCTAAGGGTCTTATGTAGAGAGTTATATAAAAAACAAGGAGCCTAATATGGCCAAGAAACACAAGACTGACATGTAGGAAAACAGCAATAGATCACAGAGCACTATAGATATAGCAAGGTAACAACTATGAGACAGGAAGCCGTCTGGATTCTGAGTAGAAAAGTACTGATGTCGGTCTAACATTATTTAAAGCTAAAAAACTTTTATCATGTGCAGTATAGGACATAGAGTGATAGCAGGGACACCAGTTTGGAAACAACTGCAAAAGTTCAAGAGAGAGATGATAGTGCCTTGGAACAGGAGATAAGGATGGTGATCAGACTGCAAATTTTGAAGATATTCTTAATTTATTATAAACTAGTACAACCTTTTTAGAGAACTAAACAACAATTAAAAACCCAGCATATTCTTTATCATTCTGTCTAAAAATTTATCCTTAAAAAAAAAAAAATCCAAAGTAACTAGGAATAAGAATGTTAAGATGTGTATTTATTGCTAAATATTTGTTCTACTCTTTATATCAAACAAGTTATAAAATACGTGAATTTAGAAACTGTTGCTTTAAGAAAAAAACCTGAAAGTATATTCACTAAAATACGATTATCTGTATATGGTGAGATTGCAGTGTTTTCTTACTTTTGGATGCTTGGAGTTTCTAATATTCCTACAATGATCCTATATCATTTGTACAGTTTGGTATATTAATAGCTGGGCGCAATGGCGCATGCCCATAATCCCAGTGGCTTGGGAGGCTATGGCAGGAGGACTGCAAGTTCAAAGCCAGCCCTGGCAAAGACGAGGCACTATTACAATCATTGAGACCCTGTTTCTAAATAAAATACAAAACAGGGCTGGAGAGGTGTGGCTCAGTGGTCAAGTGTCCCTGAGTTCAATCCCCAGTACCTCCTCTGAAAAGAAAAGAAAGCAAAATATCCAGATTAGATCATTTTCCAGTTGTTCATTTTCACCTCATCTCTTTTAATATTTATCTTTTAGTTGTAGTTGGACACAACACCTTTATTTTATTTATTTATTTTTATATGGTGCTGAGGATTGAACCCAGGGCCCCGCACATGCTAGGTGAGCGCTCTATCGCTGAGCCACAATCCAGCCCTCTTTTTTTAGTAGTTTTGGGGAATGAATCCCAAGGGTGCTTTACTTCTTAGCTACTTCTTAGGACTGTGCTTGCCTTGCACGCACGAGGCCCTGGGTTCAATCCTCAGCACCACATAAAAATAAATAAGTGAAATAAAGGTATTGTGACCAACTATAACTAAATTGCTGAGCTTGCCCTGGAATTTAACAATCCTCCTGTCTCTGCTTCCTGAGTCACAAAGATTATAAACATGTACCACTGCACCAGGCTTCCATCTCTTAATCCACAGGAAGAGCAATGCTTCTTAAAATTGTTATTTCAACCATAGATGAAGAAAACTCAGGAAAATTTGAAAGTAAGCCTTATCTTGCCCATTTTTTTAGTTTGCTAAATAACAAGGTATATGAAATGAGTATGAATCTTTATCAAAGATCCTCCTTCCAATGTAATCATGTGTCTTATGCACATGTAATTAGCATTAACCTTAAGGAAAACTAACACACATTGCAATCAAAAGCTAACTTAAATTATAAAAACAACACAAAATTCTTACCCCTTTGATTGGCCATTTGCTCGATTTTCAAAAAATTTTATCTCCAAAATATCATTTACTCCCAAAGAATGAACTGCTTCCGTTAAGTCTTCATCTGTTGTCCACTGCAAAATATTTTCCACTTATTAACTATTAAGACATACCCAGGATTTTTATTTCTTGAATTTAGGTTTTAAAGGTAAACTCAAGTTAAACAAGAGAAAATTCACGCTCAATAGAAATCTAATTACTAGATTTCAGCTCCACAAAAGAATCTGGAAACCTAACCTCTTTCAGCTTTAAACTACTCTGATTTTAAGTTTTCAATAAAACCAACTTCACTTGTCACTTCCTCCCTTAAAGGAAAATATTTTGTGAAATAAATTTCATCTTGTGTTTGAATATAAACTGGAGAAAAGTGGGCTGGAGTTGTGGCTCAGCGGTAGAGCGCTTGCCTTACACGCATGAGGCCCTGGGTTCAATCCTCAGCACCACATAAAAATAAATAAGTGAAATAAAGGTATTGTGACCAACTATAACTAAAAAATAAATATTAAAAAAAAATCTGGAAAAAATAAACTAATATGTATGAGTACCTTCTACATATCTATGTACCACCTATATGCCAGCACCATTCTAGGGCTGGATATGAAACAAAATTTCTGCTCTCATAGTGGTAACAATCTAGTGGGAAAAGATAATAAACAAATAAAATGTTTTATAGTAGAGAAAAAATAAAGGTAATAAAGACAGGTGGTTAACTCTTAAAACACAGGTAAATCCCATCATTTCCATTTTTTTACATTTGACGCAATAGAGAAGGTAAAAATCTTGCCCAAAGTCACAAAATCAAGAAGGTGGAACCAAGATTCGAATTTCTACTTAGCATCCACGCTTAACTATCCTATTATTTTCAACACTGCAAAGATTGCTCGGACTGGCAAACTAAGTGGTGCAAAATCAGTCACTTAGTTTGAAAAGACTGTTCAGTAAAAATTAAAGACATTCTTACTAAAAATAATTAATTTTATTAAAGAAGTAGTAAATATTAATAAAAACATATTTTTATTAAGGAAGTAGAAGAGTGACATGTTTCAATTTGACTTATAGTACATTATTTTTAAACTTTCAAATTTATATAATAGCTTAAGTGGAAAAATTCTACCTGAATTACTTTTATGGGTATTTCAGGTTTAACACCAATAAATAAACAAATAGAGACACTGGACATTCAGATTTCAAATCAACAGTCTGTAATATGAATTAGGAAATTAACAATATTTTAAAATCAGGAGTGGTAATATATGTCTCTTTGTACATTGATGAATCCTAGTTTGAGACCCTATGCAAACATTTTTCTTAATTGGAAAACCCTAAGTCAGGTAGGAGTAGTAACATATAAAGCATAATTAAAGACAAAAAAAATTTAACTATAATTAATTGGTATGTCCACCCAAGACAAAATGAAGGACTACAAAATTCAAAACTAGGAAAAATTAAATCAATGACTTTTTAAAGATAAGTGTTTTTACCCTTCTTATTGAATAAGCAAACATAAAGAAACAAAATGGGCTCAATGGTGCACGCCCGTAACCATACAACTCAGGAGGCTGAGGCAGGGAGATACAAGTTCAAAACCAGCCTCAGCAACTTAGTAGGACCTGTCTCAAAATTAAAAATAAAAATCCCTGGTACCAAAGCGGGAAAAAAAAAAATTCTGGGACAAAAACTAACTACTAGAGCAGTTTACAATTAATGACTAATAACTCAGTTCATATGTTAACTTTACTTACCCATGTTAGATTTCCAATATATAATGCAATTCTCTTTCCAGTATAAGTATAGACAACATTTGGTGCTGCTCCTTTGCCAACATCATCACCAACAGTTGGAGGGAGAGTATCCATGTAATCCCGGTCTTCTGGGGCATCTCCATTATTTGCAGATGGAGAGATGACATCATCATATAAATCTATCTGATCATGCCCACCATATTCCGCTTCCTGAGTATAGAAATAATGCTCCAGATTATACAATGGTCAGAATACTAAACAGACTTGAACACAAATTCATTCAACTCCTCTTTTTATTTTAAAAACATGATGGAAGCTAAAAAAAAGTCCCAAAGATCACCACAAGTCTTTTCTTACTTTATGCAACAGATGTATTCTTGAATGGTGACTATAACTAAAACCTTCCTTGGATGAAGTGTTTCTTAAATAACAATACACGAATATTAGTAGACAAGTTTTAAAAGAATATTTGGCATAAGACTATAACAAAACCCAAAACCATTTTAAGTTCTTAATATTTGAACACAGAAGAACATAACTAATTTTCTATAGCATTCAGACCTTGTTTCCCAACCCTGAGAAAGTTACTAGAGTTTTAGAAAAAGAACAGTCAGTTGAACTATAGGAAAAGGTCATAGAAAAAAATGTGGGTAGGAACATGATTTAAAATGCCATGATAAATTATCTAGAAAAACAATGAAATATAGGTCAAACAATTCAAATTAGTATCTTATTTTAAGTCAACAAAGAGCTAGTGCTTACCTGACTTTTTAAATATCTAGTCAAGTAAATTAGCAAAAGAAAAATATTTACTAGAATAAAGATTTAGTAAAACTCTGCCAATGATTGTCACCAGCAGAACTAAAGCAATGCTAGTGGGTGTCAATGATAAGCAAGGAAGAAGGAAGAGAAAACAAAAAAGAAATAGATATGCAACCCAGAGAAAAATGTAAGAAAATTAAGTAATTTGTAAATAAGCACACACACAAAAAAATGTAGTGTAGGATTCCGCAGAACATGCGACACCATTTAATTGCCATTAGTAATGATTACTGGGCCACAACCTTAACTAACTCTGTAGCAGAGAAAAATCTCCATTTTTATCTTCCTCCCTTTCCAAGACTACGTATTGAAAATCAGTATAAACTGTTTTATTCTTATGAGATAGAACATTTGAGGTAAAAAGAAAAGACAAATATAAGACAACTAAAAGTTCGGACATCATTCGTATAATCTATCCATTTATACAATTTATTAAGAAATTGTCATACAAATGGCACATAAGGAAGAACTAATAGTTTTAGGGACAACTACATGAATAAATGACCTAGAGAAAGCATTTGTTACATGATGGCAAACAGAATAATTAGATATTATTGTGGACCACAAGGGAACATGGCTATTGTTTTGTTCTGAGTCAGAATAAGTTTTCTTTAAAAACAAAGCAAAACAAAAACAAAAACAAAAAACCCAGAAGGGTAAATACCATAACCCAAGGGACCTCAAATTTCTAATGTCATCTTCAGGTAATCTTCATAAATAATGAGCTATCCAGTTTACTAGAGAATCTTTTACATACCAATTTTATTTGTTATGAGCTAGAGTTTAAGACTTATTTAATAAGGGGTTCAAAATATTAAGTGACTAAAGCCATCTTTAGCAATGGGCAGAAACTAAGACCACAAATCACTAAATAATGCCATTACTTTATTACACAGCAATACCAAAATATCTCTAAGAAATTAGTTTTTGTTAATTTAACATATTCAAAGTGCAGTGACAGTTAAAACTAGAAAAAAAGGAGTGTTTTGTTATGAAGTTTCAGTGTTGCTGAAGCTTCATTCAGGTGGCATAGCTGCAGCAGTGGTTTAATACACTTAAAAATACTAAAAAGCTTCCCACAAGAGATAGTGGGCACTTTAAACTCTCTTGCAATCCAGTTCTGTACATCAAGTAGAGTTATTTTTATTATTCAAAGGGAGCTGTGTTTCCATCCTCCTCAGCAGAGACTAATCACAATATATGGTCTGAGGGTGAGTAAAAAAGAATGCAAGTGTTATTAATAATAAGACTAATATTTAAATTTATACTTCCACTTACACAAAGACATTGTATTTTTCATTAGTTGGAAATCTATGAAAATGTTTACACAAATAGACATTAATTTACAACATTGATTGCAGCTACACTAACCTGGTACATTATAATCACTTACTATTTTTTGCAAGTCCACGAATTCCTATGTTGACATCAACCAATTTTCCATATTGATATGATTCTACCAATATAGAATTAGCCACTTTGTCTGGTAGTTGGACTGCTTCCAAATGGTTGAAGTATGATTCTAAATGAGACCATGGTCCTGGGATTTAATCTCCGTGTTGACTAGTTAGCTTCACTCTGTTCCAGGGCCACAGCCTGTACTCCTAACCCCAATGTTATACACTTCGACTTGGTGAAAAAAATATTAATGAATCTGAATACATTTGCCACCATCTCTAAAAATTCAATTCAAAGCAATATTCTTTTGTTGTATCAATAATCTTTGCAGCTTCATTATATCATACTTATCTTTTACATTATAAAATATATAGCACATCCACTTTATTACCGATTCAATCAAGTGAGAAAATATGCATATTCTGAAATTATGCAAAATATCACTGGTCATCTATAAAGAAAGCAAACTGAAATATACGGAACAAACTAAAAAACAAATGTTTCTAGGGCTGGGGATGTGGCTCAAGCGGTAGCGCGCTTGCCTGGCATGTGTGCGGCCCGGGTTCAATCCTCAGCACCACATACCAACAAAGATGTTGTGTCCGCCGAGAACTAAAAAATAAATATTAAAAATTCTCTCTCTCTCTCTCTCCTCTCTCACTCTCTCTTTAAAAAAAATGATATTTAAAAAAATGTTTCTACTTTGTCAAAGATAAGTACTCAACAGTGTCAAGTTCTATGTGAAGGGTCTTTTCAATTATTTTAATTTTAATGGCATTCAAATACGAGAAAATTTCAATATAATCCCACTAATTATTTTAAATACCCAAAGTTCCCCAATCTTATCCACTTTTCATGGGAGCGAGCAAATCACTAGTAAAGGGGTATTTAACTCCTAGTAAGCAACAGCACTTAGGACTTGTTGAAAATTTTCACTAATTTTTTTCATTCTCTACCAATCTAAATGACTACAATCATTCTAAAGGCAAGGTATCCTCTCAAGATTTTGTCCTATATGATACAAAATTGCTGTTTCCACGTCAGAAAAAACAAATATATGGTAGATAGAAGAATGACCAAATCCTATTAATTTCCATAAAATAATCTTTCACAATCCTCTTTTCATTAGCCCCATTCTCCCTCCCTTCAAACAGCTGTATTTTGGCAGTTTTTCCCTATAAAATTTTAATATCACATACATACTATATTCCATTATTGGGATTACCTTGGGCTATTCAAAGTATTCTTCATTTTCCCTAATGGGTTTTAACAATGGTTTTCGGGGTCCTAAAATCATGGTTAATATCTTTTGCGAATTACAGGACACTAATCAGTAACACACAGCAAGGGCCACTTGTTTTAAAGTCCTTCTATGAAACAAAAAAAGTAATTTCCATTTAGGAAACTATAAAAGGAGGAGAGTTACAAAATGTATTCTACACCATGGAAGAAAACTACTTGCACAAAAAAATCCAGTAGTAAATAACAGTCATGCCCATTATCAGCAGGTGATTGTTTCCAACGTACCACCCCAACCCTGCAACCAACCCACTTGGAAATACCATACTTTGCAGAAGCTCAAGTCCCATGTATATATGGGGTTTTTTGCATATAAATTATACACATGCTTTCACATTTTAAATCTTCTCTAGGTTTACTTCTGATATCTAATAAAATGTAAACACTATGTAAATAGTTGACATACTATTCAGGGAATAATGTCAAGAAAAATGTCTGTACATATTCAGTACAGATGCAAATTTTACCCAAAATATTTTAGATCTGTGGTTGGTTGAATCCATGGATGTGGAACCCACTAGAGGGCTATATTTTTTAAAAAATTATCACTTTTGGATTATGTTCTAATATTAAAATTAGTTTGTAACCCCTGTGAAAAGCTCAACTAATACTAAGGAAGCCAACTTGATACTAAAAATATGCCATATAACCCAAAAAGTGTGCAATTCACAGACAGTTGAGTTAACCATGATCATAGTAAAACCAAAGTAGAGTTCTAACTCCCCTAAACATTTCTATTCATGTTTCTGAATCAATCTCTAATATACCTCATTCTGGACATTATAGACTTATCTTAAAACCATTTTCTATTAAGCATAAGCAAATTTATCAGAAATGTTTCACTGATATTTGCCCAATAAAAGTATTTCCCATTACTGGCTAGGGTAAAAACATAACTAAATACAAAGCAAAATCACTCATGAACTAAAAGTGGCTTGTGAGGGTGTCTAGGTTCTTAAAGCCTAAAGAATATGTGAGTGTGTGTGTGTGTGTGTGTGTATTTTTAAACAACCACCAAGTCTGTATACTTTTATCTTAAAGTTGGGAGGTCAGATTACTAAATTAGTATTGATATCAGTGACCCACAGCCTGACAGATGAGAAATTATATTCTACATTAAGATCTTTTGACGTCCTAAACAAGAAAATAACATACTACATCAAGGCACAAAGTTGAATATCCCTAATCCCCAAATTTAAAACGTTTTGAGCACCAACACATGCCTCAAGAAGTTTTAGATTTTGGAGCATTTCCAATTTCAGATTAATGATGCTCAACTATTAAACCTGAAAAACTCCAAACTGAAATGCTTCTTTAGCATTTAGGTAGGGGACATACAACTTGTCTTAATTTTCCTCAAAGTTCATAGACTTTTTCTTGATTCCTCCTCATAGCTGAAAATTCTACAGGTATATACATAAAAAAGGGGTAACTACAATATAGGACCTCTATTGTAATTATGTAATTATCTTACTCCACCCACTGGGACTATCTAAACTTTGTAACCTTTGTTGGCACATATAATAGGGCTGAGGCAGGAGGTTCCCAGTTCAAAGACAGCTTCAGCAAAAGCTAGGCACTAAGCAACTCAGGGAGACCCTGTCTCTCAAAAAAAAAAAAAAAAAAAAAGAAAGAAAGAAAGAAAAAAAAATAGGGCTGAGGATGTGGCTCAGTGGTCAAGTGCCCATGAGTTTAATCCCAGGTACCCAAAAGAAACAAAGAAAGAAATGTTATTCTGAACAACTGAAAATTTAAAATTATTATTTAGCTTTAGCAAAAAAACACCTGAAATTACTAAATATTAGACTAGTTATTATACTGTAATACAAATCCCAGTTCAAAGTAAACAGAGTGTAGAACAAAACTTTTTTCTGCTCAATTCTAAATTCAAGTAATGTAGATAGAGTCAGAAGTGATTCAAATTCTTCTTCCATTAATGCAACTATTCCCAATTTGATGGCATCCAAAACCTTTCAATTTAAGAACTAAAGGGCACCCATGAATAATAGTCAGTTCCTGTGTCTTGTCCCCTTGATTCTCCATTCTTAAATTAATTTAAGAAAGGAATTCTACTGTATAGTTTCACTGACTTTTTCTCACTCCATCTCCAAATTAGTTTCTTCTAAAGACTGTTGAATGTCTTTTTGAAATGAGTGAAATACCAAAACAAAAAACAAAAACATGACCCCTTAAAATAGTGGAAAATGGAAAATACATGACCTCACAGAATTTCCAAGTATACAAATCCAACTAAAACTGCAGCTCACACTGGAAACCAAAGATTAAAAAAAAAAAAAAAATTTAAAGCAGCTTAGAAGCCAAAATAAGTAAAGACTGGCTAATGGTACTATAAAAGATTTTACTCAGCTCAAATACAAGTCACAGGTTACTACAGCAGCTAGGAGAAAAAAGGTGATCAGCTAATAAGAGTACAGACTAAATAAAATAATTTTGTGGTTGCCTCTGATTCTGATAGGACTTCAAAAAATGATAGTAATCTTGAAAAAGACCAGCAATCAATCCTCTTGTAGACATTTTTGGTTCAGGAATTAGTGGAGCAAGCAGATTACTTAAGTCAATTATATGCAAAATAACAACATACTTCTATTTAATCTCCCCATTAATCTATTCAAACACATAAAGATTTCACTAGCCAAGTTATAACTGTTGGTTATAATGCTATAGGTACATATCAATGAAAAATTACATTTTAAAAAGCCTACATAGTAGTTCTTCATTGGGTCCACAAATTTTCATCTTTTTTAACCTCTTGTCTAGCACTAGTTACTGCACAGGGATAAGAGAGTATCATTCTTCAAGTTTTATCTGAATGGGAAATATCCCTCCCAAATTAAGTATGCAAAAGCCTAAAAATATTCCATGAAGAGGTACTAAACAAGGCTCAACTACTAAAATTGGGTGCATTGAAAGGTGAAGCACTGTACTCTTGTAAGAAAGGCTAATGCAGACAGTCCTGAACACTTAATTGTTCCTTTCCTTGAAGTTAAGGTCATCTTTAGGATGTAATGTTAATACTCACAAATAAAGGAAATTTCCTAGAGGTCTGTGATCTTAAAAGCATTAAAATCTGTGTAGCAGTCAAGGAAACTTTCCAATTTTGACACAATATTGGGTATTCAAAATACAAGCACAGAAACAGATTTTCAAGCTTAACATTTTATTACAATGGATTACATTTAAACATATCCAGTCTTTAACCGAGTAGTAGTAAATATTTAAAACTTATGGTAATTGCTTTTTTAATATTTAAACCAGAGGCACAAAGTCACTCCTAAAAAATACAACAGTAAGGATTTCTGAGTTTTCATATTTTAAAAAATCTTGAACCCCTAATTACAAATAGAACTTAATTGGGGGCGGGGGTGAGGCACATAAACCAACGGAATTGTATTAAGCTTCTCACACGGACCTGGAAAATAAAATAAAATAAAATAAAAGCTTTTAAGTGCACTGCGGTTAAGCACGATTTGATTTTCTAAAATGTTACTACATAAAATGCGGAAAAGATGTTAACAGCAGGTAAAAGGGCTTAAACGTCACCACTCCAGTAACAAACGAGAGAGCTTTTGCAAGGATGCTCATTCTCAGACATCTCAGCTCCACAGCTAATTCTAGGCAAACCGTGGCTTGAGACAACGGGAAAACCTTGCATTTCTCACTTTCTCCAGACTTTCAAAAACGTTAAGCTGAACCCTTGGGGGTGAAACACTTTGCTTTCAAATACAGGGTCATACCCACAACTCTATTTTTCAAATACACGGTAAGAATTTCGGATGGACGTTCTTTCTTCGTTTTAATCACTCTGATCTGTTGATGAGCTACCATCTTTTTGTTCTATCCAACCACCGCGCTTCCGAGTCTTCCTTTTGGCCCAAGCCAGTTATCTTCACAGGTATTTTCATGTCAAAAGCAAAGAACGACAGGGCCTTCAAGGCACTGCAAAGCTTTCGACTGACAAGCCAGGCCCGCATACTGACTTTTAAATACCATCTCTGCGCCCTAAATCAGACGACTTGTTGCAGAAGTGCCCACCCCAAAGGCCGCCTTCACACAGGGAGAGGTGAAGAGGAGGAAGGCGCCACGCCGAAACCTGTCGCAAACGCGAGCAGGAGCCCCGGGGACTGGGCGCGCGGGATACAAAGGGCTGTGAACGCGGCCTTCCATGAGGCGACCGTGCGCGGACAGGCAGACAAAATGGAGCGACGGGAGAAATCGGAGCCCGGGCGGC